CTTTAGGGTACATGTTGCATTTCAAATTTCACTCCCCCAACAACCACAGATCCAATCTAATGTCTTAACTTTCATCTCCATGCCATTTCCATCCAAAAGCTTCAAGACAAAACAGAACATGTACAGAGAGAAAGAAGGGCTTGGCTTTGGTAGATTATTCTTCTTTTCTCTCCTCACCATAAAATGGTTTTCTTTGATAAAAACATCAAAGTCCGAATTGTGTTCACAGCGTTCAAGCTTTGTGTTGTCCACAAATGAAAAAAGGAGAATGTTCAAAGCTAAATATAATGGGAAGGTCCGTCCACTTTGCAGCTCGGCTGCCTTTGTCCATTCCAATTTATAGTCGTACTGAATCAAATAGCCGGAATGAATGAATTAAAATAAAGATCAACGGATGTTGCCTGAATCAAGGCAGATCAATGCAGCTATAACTTATGTACCATCTAGATCGCTTTTCCACCCTGAATTCATGCTTTCACAGCTGCCTCTTCAGTGTACACTCAAAAGAGAAGCCAGTATGCAGAGCAGGAATACCCAGGTTCATGCCATTCAGACTCCACTATTGGAGAATTTATGGTCCACAGACACTGTCATATGCACAACTTACCATGATGATATTTTAGATGTTGATACTTCACCTGTGAAAAAGTATTACAATGTTAGTCCACCTAGTAATCCTCTGGTTTCCTTCCATTTCTTCTTCATGGGGCAGTAAGAATATGGGAAGGAAAAGGAGCTAAAGAAAAAGAAAACAGAATATGCAATGTAGATAATGGCCATTATCTTATGTATCTTCAGAACTAGATAGTAATCAGAAAGGTAATTCTCTTATCTCTTCTGAAATGCATCTCATCATAGGTAATGTTATCCAATTTGTCACCGTTCCCTTTCCTCTTCATGATTTTGCGAATCAATCAAGTTACATCTTTGGCCTCTAACATTGCTTCCCCATTGTTTATCTGCTTAGAACAAACAGTACTAACCTTTCGGGCATTTGCAGGTAATATCTGCACCAGGGACAACATTTCACTCACATTAATCAGTAATTCAATTGTGTGCTCAAGATTTAGTATTATTAGCCTATACAGTTATCACATGGATAATTTATTTTCCAGAAAAAATGTTTAAACTTGAATGTTACACAAGAACGAAGCATATGAATTATTAATATCAGTTGCTAAGTTTCATTTAGCAAACTGAAACACCAAATGAAACATCTCATAGGATGAACAATATAAAAGCAGATTCCTATATGAACAAATGCATGCCCCCATAATAGCATTGATTTCAGAAAGTTATATGTGGAAGAGAGTCAAGAGACTGCATGATTGCTAGCCACATTCATTTTCTTCGTGTTTTTACTAAAATCCATTCGGTTCTTTTACCCTACCTCAAGTCTATATATTTGATGCCTTTCCTTCAAATCTTGATGATCAGATCCATCTTCATGATGCTTATCATCCTCATCTTGATTATCCCTTTCAAGGACAACTTTGATGCTCTCACCAGCCCTAGGGATGTATCCAAGTACTTCACATACAAACTAGATACTCTCATACTGATGTTCCTATAGAGCAGCGTGGTGAACAAAGAAGAATGAAGTAGAAATATGATATTTAAAAGTTAAAAGAACATTTTGATAGTTATTTACAGTGAGATTAACTGTGCCTTTACTTCAAAATGAATTGAAAACCACATTGCAATTTTAACTATTTACTTTATCCTCTCCCCTTTATCTTCTTCATTTGTTTTTTTATTTTTTAAGCAGTGGTCACTTAATCATAAAGCATAATAATCCCACAACAGTCACAATAAACAGAATTTCACTTGCAAATGGGATCAGAAATATCAAGTTCATAAGTCTGGCTATTTTAAAGATTCCTACGATCAAGTTTATAATTCTCCTTTCAGTGCTCTATACACCATAACAACGAAAACCAGTAATAGTATAGAATAATATACCTCTAGCATTTTGATATTCAAGTCCTCAGCCAATAAATAGATGCATGGGCATGGACATCATATACTCCCTCTGCTCTCATTATAATATAGCCAGTTTCTTCTGGATCTCCTCCTCTTAATACAATTAGCAGCAAATGCATAAAATAAGAATCACTTGAGAATCATTATACATATGTATAAATGAATCGCTTAAGAATCAAGTAGAGCTGAACCTTTCAACGTATAGAGTAAAGAAATATCTACATGACGTGAGAAGTGACATGAAATTCCTTGGTCACATGGAAAATACAGAAAAAGTACATGCCAAACTAAATGAGACCAGAAACTGGAGACATAAGGCAGCATCTAGATCAACTGGTCTGTAGAAAATTAGCAGCACATGTATAACACCAGTTTGTTTTGGACTTCATCAACAAGTTTTCTGACTTGCCCCCAATAACAGATTCAGTAGAACATTAAGGTCATTAATGAGGTAATTAGGCTTACCTTTGAATCATTTTCATCAAAGATTTCTTCAAACATTCTCCTCAACCACATGTTCTAAGGTTACTATCTGCTCCATCAAAAAATGAGTACATAAATATATAAAATCAATCAATCAATAAAATGAGCACAAATACTGTTAAATAAGCAATCCAAAAGAGAAAGAAAACCCATGCATGGTAAGTTGACTAAGTTCTAGACTTTTTGTGTTCTCATGCTGCATATTCCACTCTTATCTGAACTTTAGAAGAAAAATGATTTCAAAACATATGAGAGAGCATTCGAGTTTCAACTGCAGGGAACTCCTCTGTCTCCTTTACCATGTTGAACCTGAAATTAATGTTACATGCCAAACCTTCTGAAGTTGTAAGATTTGAATAACATCCTAATGCTAGGAGCTCATGAGTTAAGGATTGAGGGGTCATACCAACCATTTAGACTTTAAGTGGTCAACATATTATCCTGTTTGACTTTTTACCATCATTCGTTTTATTGAGTTTATGTTATGACATTTGGATGCCAACAAACAATGAACAAATACTACCTCAAGTGGGAAAAAAGAACAAGCTAATAAAGAATAAGGTTCTGTCTTTAGGACTTTTAGCTACAATTGAAAGAATTTTGTTTAGTTTTTTAGCCTCTTAGCAGGGGAAGCATTGTTAGCTTCTAACTGTAGAATAAAGTTTAAAATATCACAAATGTTGTCTTGTATTGTTTCAAGACATTACAAGTTAGCATAAGTTGACATGCGTCACAAAATAAAAATAAATAAAAAGGCAGAAGTTGGAACTTTATCATAATAAAAAATCTCAATACAATGGATGATTCTGTTTAAGTAGAGTTTCAATATGAGGCTTTGCACATACCGCAACAGTTCCACCATATCCATTAAGAACAACAGCCATGTGAACCTTTCTGATCTGGAACTCTGTAAGAAGATTCCACACTGACATTGAATCTGCAAAACCAATTTTCTAAATATTACTGTATAGATAATTGAAGCATTCTATTTTTTCCATTTTCTTTTCCCCTAGACAATAACTACTAAAACAACAAATCAATCAGCTGAAACAGGAGTTGCACTTGCATCAATTGCAACCATATCAACAAGGGGTATCTTTACGTCTCTTACATGAGTATCCTTTATCTCTAATACATTTTCAATCATATCTTGAAAGGAATTCATAAAATTAGAGCATCTAAACTGTAAACAAACAGAAAGGCACCTGTTGGCAAAAAAATTAAATTGGATTTCCACTAGAATCTGATTTTAAAACAAAAATTGCTAGAGAAATATATGGCAAGGAAAAGATATGCTCTACTGTAAATGTGCAACCAGAGTCAAGCATAGATGATACTGATCAATTTGATCACGGTAAAAGAATTCAGAAACTGAAGAAACTTTCTAATTCTTATTTGAAACAAAAGAGACACTCAGGCTAGTACAGTAAAGAAAAATTAGCTTATTTCACTACCTGCTCTTCCTCCTCTATTGCTTCACTCGACTCTGCCCCACCCAGCCTCAGCTTTAAGTCATCTTCAGTAACATAAGGTTCATTAATTTAAAGAGAAAACATGCAAAGTATTCATAAAGCAGTCAATACAAACTTAACAAACAGCTGGAAACAAAAAATGTAACAGACAAAAAGGAGGATATGATATCCTTCACCTTTTCCCTTTTAGACCAAGTGATTTAAGCATTCCCATTGATAAAAAAGTAACAATTCTTTCCACTGCATATACTATCAAGGAAAGCCATGCCACTGGATATACACAGCAAACAGCATTAGCCAAATAATTTTAATTTGCTAGCAGTCATCAGCTAAATAGAAAAGAGTTAAATAGCAATATAGATCATGGAGTTTGAAAGAGAAAGTTAAAGTTTTTCAGCAAAGTTTTAGTTGCCAGTTCAAGAAGAAAATGGAAACTTGAATGGAAATTGGAAAACTTACCCCAAATCTAGCCACCTCTGTGGGATTGTGAATAGCTATACTTTTTGGAGTGATCTCAGTAAGAAGCAAAATAGCAACCTGGAATCATTCAGGAAAAATTCAATGATTATGATTTCTTTCAATCTTTTATGTTCTTTTTTTTTTTTTTTTTTGGGAAAAAGGCAAGCTTTTCCATTGCATGAAAACAACATATCTACAATAAACACTCAGGCAAACTTGGGTTTAACATATCATCTCACACTCAAAATTACAACTGCAAAAAGTAAAAAGAGAAAGATATGCAAATTAATCTACCATATCAACTTGGATACCCATAATATTGAAAAAAGAAAAATAAAGAATGACCAGTGCCCTAGTGTTGAAACCTAAAATACCAATTCTCTGATTCAAAGGCCCTGTGGTCTCAAAAGATTCAGCTCACTTACCATTACCACCTTCCCATTATCATAGAGGTAGGGGGAAAAACACACATGATAAATAACCAGCCCACCCACCTTTTGATTATTCTGCCGTCTATTAGAGTTACCCAACATGACTTCTTATTTGTTCTTCTTTCATTGTTTTTGTAACAGTCAACTTTACAACTCAGGTGCTAACTTAAAGAGATTTATCCTAAAGCAATTTAAGCATTTTACTCTAATTTACTACCAATTCACAATGTGTTACATACAAGCACAAATAGAACCAGGCAAGGAGATTGGGTATGTGGGACACGTAGAGAGAATAGAATTTTTATATACATAGAGTCATTACTCCAATTGCTGCCCTAACACCAGCTTCTCCAAATATTGCTGTTGCTGCATCTGTAACTAAAGCAGTCACTCCAATATTGATCGTCCTAGTGAGAAAGACAAACTAAAAACAAATCACACACCAAAGTTAACATAGACAAACAGAATTGGATCAGTTAAGTGATGATGGGAAAGACTAGTATGTAGTGCCAATAAGATTGGTGGTCAAAAACCAGGTTACATCACTGTGAAGCGTTTGAAATACACCATCTTTAGACACTAAACCCAATATTTAAGTCAGCAAATGCCATTGCACAACAACCACAAACTTCATATATTTATCTAAACCATAAAAGTTACTGAAACATTAACAATCAAAAACTGTGAATGTTCTTCAACTTCATATATTTAACCTTTTTGAGGTTTTCGTACTAAAATTCAGCTTTCAATTGCTATTCACTAATTATAAGAACCATCAATCTTCAAACAAAGAAAGCAAACCTTCCATGGCCATAGTGTAGTTATAGAAGTCTCTGCCATTGAGAAGAATGCAGATAGACCTAAAAGTGCAATCAGAATCACTCCTTGCTCTTTAAAAATCTTAAGAACCATAGAAAACTTAGGCTACACATTCCTCAACAACAACCCCACTGCTCAACCACTTCGTACCCTGCATTCACCACTCCCTCCGCCGCAAGCACTCTCTTGCACGCGAAAACCAAAAGAGAACAAAGCATTGCCCAAATAAAGACTCCTTGCTTCAGCAACATCTTCAGAGACTTCAAATCCAGGCCTAAAACCTCACCTTGGTCACCACTCAGATCATTGTTTTCGTCACTTAACGATCGCAAATGAGCTCTATTGCCAACAATGAGGAACACTTGGATCCGGAAATGAAGGAGGGTCCATTGATGACAATGGGGATTCAGGTGCCCTAACCCCCACAATAGTTACAGCTGAAGGAAAATGTTAAAAACTTAAAAAAAAAAAAAGAAAAAAAAAGAAAAAAAAAACCCAAAAAAGATAAAAGTTGTCTATGTTATACAAAAAAATAAACTTGTAATTCTTCACTTGAGTGATGTGGAGATAATTTTTTTTGTGTAATTTTTTTATATAATTTTTATATGTTATTAAATAAATTAATACATTTGATATCATAAATTTTAAATAAACAAAAAAATTAATCATTTAAATAACAAGTTTATATCAAAATATGGTACAAAATGATTATCTTTGAATTTCATTTCCCTTTAATTATTGAGAAGTGTTAATAACTAATTAAAGAATTTATGATTTTAAATTAAATTAACTGGGGAGTTAATATAAGGACTTAATGGCAGTTATTATTATTTTTGACTTACATGAATTGGTTTCCTTAATAGTTTTTACTTCTTCTTTTTTTTGCTGTATTTTTAATTCTTTAGCACTATCTTTTTGTTATCTATGATGTTATTATACTTTATACTATGTTTTTTATAGTTTGATACTCTTAATTTTTACTTAATTAAAGATATTTAAAATAGTGTTTAAACCCAATAAATCTCACTAAACCACGTCAATCTAATATAAATTGAATTGGTGTAATTATAATATAATAATATATTGAATTAATTTGAAAATTCTATTAATTGATTAAATTAATTTGATTTTAAAATATTAAAATCTGATTCAATATCTACACCTCAAATACCTTATGAAAGAGTATCAATTTTCATAATTTTCCTAAAAAATGATTAGTGTCCAACCCGACTTAATACACTTACCAATATTAATTAGTTTAGTTTTTAAATTTTATAGTAAAATTTTTCTGCTTTAAATTTAACTTTGAAAATATTAGTTTCATATTAAGTGCAGTACAGAGTATCTTCAACCGAATGACGTACTTTTCAGTTGCAAATTCATATCGCATTTCAATTTCCTGCCATTGCTTAGCTGTTATAAACAGCAATTGGTTTTGATTCATTAATACTCTTGTCACGTAGCACCTGATTCTTCGCCTTTTTCACTTCTGTTCTCAATGTTGATTTTAAAATTCCGCCATATTATATACAACATTCCTTTCTCGTGATGACTTGATGCTACCTACAAATATGACCAAAAAAAAACCATCGAATTCATCCAATCTTTTCACTCCCATTCAGCCACCCAAAAAAAAAAAAAAAAGGAAATTAGGAAGAAAGGAAATCAAGCCATGAAGTGCCTCAAGTTCTTCACCATCCCTATGCTCATTCTTCCCTTTTTTTGGTATTAACCTCTCATTATTTGATAATTACATTAAATCTCGATTAATTCGAAATTGTGTCGCATCGGACCTTATAAAGGGGATGCTCTCCAAATGCCTGTTTTTCTATTGACAAAACTCAAACTCAACACCTGACTTAAGGGGAACCGACCTCTTTCTACCCGAACCAACAGGTAATTGATTGCTCATTCTTCCCTTTGTTGCCGGTAAACTATCTCTTGTTAATCTTTTCTTTTCTCAAAAATTAATGCTTTTTTTTTTTGTTAAAACTTCAATTTGGTCCCTCTATTGAGAAAAACCCATTTTTTATTCCTAAAGTTTGAAATCCGACCCTTTTTAATTAGTCCCTCCATTAAGTTTTGACATTAGATGACGGAAATTTCAAAGGAAAATGACCAAAAAGGGATTTTTTTCCAAAGTAAAGGGACCAAATTGGGCTATTTTTAACCTTTTTTTGGTTACTCTACTTTGAAATTTCTATTATCTAACGTGCCATGCATGCAAAACTTAATGAAAGAACTAAAAAGGGGTGAATTTCAATCTTTAGGGGACTAAAAAGGCACTTTTTTAAGTAGAAAGACTAAAAAAAATGTTTTTTACCAAAATAGAATGATCAAAATGAAGATTTAACCTTTTTTTTTTTCGACGTCAGAACTCTCAATGGAATATGATTTTAGGAACAACTGAAGTAATGGTGGAAGGAAAGGTTTGTGTCAAGGTATATAGCACCAAGATTGCACACAGGATATCTGCAGTAAGAACTGTTATGAGAAGTTTGGACCTGGAGTGGGTTCTCTATGTAATGGTAGCAAATATTGTCTTTGCTTCATACCTTGTTGAGTGTTCCCATATCATTTGCATACTCTATTGATTCGAGTGGAAAGAGTTTGGTTCTCCTTAAGTAAGGTCTCGAGTTCGAGTTTTGTGAATGGAGAAATAGGCGTTGGGAGAGCTCTCTCTTATGGGGTCC